AGCTTCTTGGATCTGTGGGTTTATTGTCTTCATTGTTTGGAAAGTTTTCAGCCATTATTGCTTCAGATATTTCTTCTGGCGCCCACCATCCCTTAGGACACCAGTTACTCATATATATTAGTCCATTTGCTTACTGATCCCTCAAATGTGATGCTTTAATTAAAGAATTTTCTTCTCTGTGTATTTCAATTTGGATGTTTCCTATTGTGCCTTCAAGTTCATTAATATTTTCTTTTACAATGGTGAATCTGCTGTTAAGCTCATCCAGTGTATTTTTCTACTCATTGTTTTCTGTGAAGTATGATTTAGGTGAATTTTATATCTTCCATGTCTCTTTTTGAAAAAGTGGGATAACTCAAACATATGTGTGAATTCTGGGTTGGTTTCAATGATTGATATTCTTCTCATTGTGAGTTGTATTTTCCTGCATGGTATTCTTTGGGTGCCAGACATGGTGAATTTTATCTTATTGGGAGTTTTTTTTTTTTTTTTTTGTATGTATCTTCTTCGGTTTTTCCTGGGATGCACTTAAGTTACTTGGAAAAAATTTGATCTCTTCTGGTCTTGCTTTTATGATTTGTTATAGACAGGTCATCCAGTCCAACTAATTATCCCCCAGATACTGAGGCAAGATTGTCCTAAGTACTCTGCCCAATGCCCCATTAATTATGAGTTTTTCTAGTATGGCTGGAAGAACCAGGCACTGTTCCCGGTCCCACATGAGCAGCAGGCACTATTCCCTCTAATTCTTTCAGTTGGTTCTCTTTCCTAGCCTCAGGTGGTTTTTTCTCATACATGCAGTGTTCAATACTCCTTTGAGTACTCAAAGGACACCCCACACTCTACAGATATCCTGGGTTCCCTTTCTGTGCATTTTTCTTCTCTGATACTCTGTCCTATGAACCCTAGCAGTCTTGGTCTCTCTGGACTTTCAAATCAGGGAGTCCACCAGGATCTGCCTTTGTTCTCCCTCTTTGTGTCATGTCTTGGAAACTCTTTCAAGGCAGTTGCAGAGCTAGCATCATTTGTTTACTATCTCATGGTTCACTGTCTTTCATTACCTGATGCCCAGTGTCTTAAAAGCTGTTGTTTCACGGATTTATTGGTTGTTTTAAGCAGGAGGGTAAAGCCAGTCCCTGTTGCTCCATCTTGGCTGGAAGCACAAGTCCAGGAAATACATTAAAAAAACCACTTCTATTAAAGTGTATCTAGGGGAGAGACTTCCCTGGTGGTCCAGAGGGTAAGATTCCATGCTCCCAATGCAGGGGGCCCAGGTTCAATACCTGGTCAGGGAACTAGAACCCGCATACATGCCGCAACTAAGAGTCCACATGCCACAACCAAGAAGTCCGCATGTCGCAACTAAGATCCCATGTGCCACAACTAAGACCTGGTGCAGCCAAAATAAATTTTAAAAATATATTTAAAAAATATAAAGCATATCTATATAGAATATTGCAAAATAAATTTACATCAAGCTTGATTAATTTTTTTTTTTTTTTTTTTGCGGTACGCGGGCCTCTCACTGTTGTGGCCTCTCCCGTTGCAGAGCACAGGCTCCGGACGCGTAGGCTCAGCGGCCATGGCTCACAGGCCTAGCCACTCCGCGGTACGTGGGATCTTCCCAGACTGGGGCACGAACCCATGTCCCCTGCATCGGCAGGCAGACTCTCAACCACTGTGCCACCAGGGAAGCCCTTGATTAATTTTTAAAAACTGAGTCGACTTGTATGACCAATGCTCATATCAAGAACAGAACATTACCAACACTTCAGAAGCCCCTTTCATGTTACTAAACTCCTACCCCCCAAAAGTAAACCTATCCTGAGTTACAGCACCACAGATTAGTTTTGCCTGTTTTAAAACTTTTAAGAATGGATTCATATAGTATGTGCCCTTCTGCATTTGGCTTCTTAAACTCAACACTGTTAGATTCAACTGTTTTGAGTGTAACAATAGTTCATTTTCATTGTTATATAGTATTTTATTGTATGAATATATCACATTGTACTGTTGATGGACATTTAGGTAGTTTCCAGTTTATGTCTGCTGGCATATAGTGCTGTTATAAACATTCTTGTATATGTCTTTTGGTGAACATATGTAGTGGGTACATAACAGTGGCACTGCTAGGTCATAGGGTATGCTATTCCCACTTCAGTGGATACTGCCAAATTTTTTTCCAAAGTGGATGCATCTATTTACACTTTCTCCAGTATTGTATGAGCATTCCAGTTGCTCCACATGTTTGCCACAGTTGATACTGTCCATGTGAGTTTTTTTTTTTTTTAAAAGCCACTCTGTTGTATGCATGTTTAAGTTCCCTTTTAAAGCTGGTATTGGAGAAGAGTAGGTCTAAGACCCTTTCAAAACAAACTGCTTTATATTATGTGAGGTTAAGTTTTGGGAGATACAGGACAGATAAAGTCCAGAGACATATCCAAACCCCAATAATAATAAATCCTGGTAATAAAGGAATTACTTCAGTTTTCAGTATCAACCACTGAAAGTTTTCAGAGAAAACTTTCATTTTACCTTTCACAATTTTACCAATGTTAGGCTATGAATTAATATCCTTTTAGTTTATTTTTCCATGCATCCATAAATTTAGGTTATTTCATTGTATAACTATTGTGATTTTGAAACTTAAAGTTTGAAAAAAAGACAATGATCTTATAATGGAGCTGGAAGGTCTCTGACTGGTTTAGTGGGTTGATTGACCTAAAATAGGGATCAGCAAACTTTGTGTATAAAGAGCCAGATGGTAAATGTTTTAGTCTTTGCCAGCCATCCAGTCTCTGTTGCAACTACTCAACTCTGCCCTTGAAAGCAGCCATAAACAATGTGTATATGAGTGGATGTGGCTGCGTATACTACTATATACTCAGTATACATCTTCCCCAAGGACATATATAAGAATATCCATGACAGCATTATATACTGGAAAACATAAACTGGAAACTACCCAAACATCCCTCAACAGCAGAACGTGATATATTCATATGATGGAGTACTATACAGTAATGAGAATAAGCAAATTACTCTTACAGCTTTATTTACAAAAACTGGCAGTGGTAATGGGCATGAGGTTTCACTAGTTGTGTGTGGCTATTTAAATTTTAATTAATTACAATTAGGTAAAATTTAAATTGTTCTCAATCACACCAGCCAAATTTTATTTTTTTTTACTTAAGTATAGTTGATTTACAATGTTGTGTTAATTTCTGCTGTACAGCAGTGATTCAGTTATATACATATGTACATTCTTTTTTAAATATTCTTTTCCATTGTGATTTATCATAGGATATTGAATATAGTTCTCTGTGCTATACAGTAGGACCTTGTTGTTTATCCATTCTATATATAAAAGCTTACATCTGCTCACCCCAACCTCTCACTCCATCCCTCCCCCAGTGCCCTCCCCCCGGTGACCACCAGTCTGTTCTCTATGTCCATGATTCTGTTTCACGGAATCACAAAGGTTCATTTGTGTCACATTTTTAGATTCCACGAATAAGTGATATCATATGGTATTTGTCTTTCTCTTTCTGACTTACTTCACTTGGTATGATAATCTCTAGTTGCACCCGTGTTGCTGCAAATGGCATTATTTCGTTCTTTTTTACAGAGGAGTAGTATTCCGTTGTATATATAATATATACCATGTTTTCTTTATCCATTCATCTGTTAATGGACATTTCGGTTGTTTCCGTGTCTTGGCCATTGTGAATAGTGCTGCTATGAACATAGGGGCATCTTTTTCAATTATAGTTTTGTCCAGATATATGCCCAGGAGTGGGACTGCTGGATCATATGGTAATTCTGTTTTTAGTTTTCTGAGGAACCTTGATACTGTTTTCCAGTGGCCACACCAACTTACATTCCCACCAACAGTGTAGGAGGGTTCTCTTTTCTCCACATCCTCTCCAGCATTTGTTATTTGTAGTCTTTTTAAAAAAAATAAATTTATTTTATTTTATTTTTGGCTGCATTGGGTCTTTGTTGCTGCACGCGGGCTTTCTCTACTTGCGGCAAGCGGGGGCTACTCTTCATTGTGGTGCACGGGCTTCTCATTGCAGTGGCTTCTCTTGTTGCAGAGCACAGGCTCTAGGTGCGTGGGCTTCAGTAGTTGTGGCATGTGGGCTCAGTAGTTGTGGTGCACGGGCTCTAGAGCACAGGCTCAGTAGTTGTGGTGCATGGGCTTAGTTGCTCCGCATGTGGGATCTTCCCAGAACAGCGCTCAAACCCATGTCCCCTGCATTGGCAGGCAGATTCTTACCCACTGCACTACCAGCGAAGCCCCCTGTAGACTTTTTAATGATGGCCATTCTGACTGGTGTGAGGTGGTACCTCATTGTAGTTTTGATTTGCATTTCTCTAATAATTAGCAGTGTTGAGCATCTTTTCACATCTTTTTCATGGCCATCTGTATGTCTTCTTCGGTAAATGTCTGTTTAGGTCTTCTGCCCATTTTTGGATAGGGTTTTGTTGTTGAGTTGTATGAGCTGTTTGTATATTTTGGAAACTAAGCCCTTGTTGGTTGCATCATTTGCAAATATTTTCTCCCATTCTGTAGGTTGTCTTTTCGTTTTGTTTATGGTTTCCTTTGCTGTGCAAAAGCTTGTAAGTTTGATTAGATCCCACACTAGCCATATTTTAAATGCTCTATAGCCACATGTGGCTAGAGGCCACTATACTGGACAGTGCATATGTAGAACATTTCCTTCAATCTCCAAATGTTCTATTAGACAGCTTTGCTCTAGTAATCTTTGCTTTTCCTTCTGCCAGGTACAAACAGGAATCACCAGCCTGGGAAACACTTTAAAATAAATTCATGGTTTAAAGCGTTTTTTTGAACTGTGCAGGTGGTATGAAACTGGGCTGCAAAGCTGTGAAGCCTATCTTGAGATTATGAATTCTCATGAGAGATTTTTTTTCACAGTACTGTTGTTGTGGGTCTGAAGATATTCATGGATAATAGATTCTATTCCTTTGCTCAGATGATGACAGTAATGTTGCAATCACCAGACCAGCTTCAGAAAGCCCCTGTGTGCTGAATGCACCACAACCTTTGGTCTTACCTCGAGTGCCACAGTCTAAGGTGCTGTCCATCACCTCAAATCCGGTAAGTCGCACAGGGGAATGTACTGGAGAACCTAGGACTGTTCTTGTAGACGAAGTTTGCTCAGTTATTTGCCTTAATTGTATCACTATGACTCTTTTCCAGTAAAGTTATGTGTTTATCACAGTAATCCAGTGACTCTTTGCAAAGATAAGTTTAATTTCAGTTTAAAAAATAGCAGCGAATGCACTCATGTCAATGAATTGTACATGTGAAAATGGTTAACACAGTAATATTATGCTATGTATATTCTACCACAATTAAAAAAAATTTAACCTGTTAAAAAATTAATAGAAAATTAGAGTTGATAAGTAATTCTCAATCAGCTCTTTTGAAAAGGCATCTATAAGCTGTGCAATCTAGACTCAACTATACGGTCAACTTAAGTCTGCTTTGGAAAAAATGAAAAATATGAAAAGAGGGACCAATATCAGATCTTCTATGGCCTTAACATTCTGTCCTTTGAATTTCTTTTTGACTTCTTCCCTCTTTTTTCTCTTATCTCAGACTACCTGGTTTTTGTTTTATTTTTAATATTTGAATCTGTTGACATTTTTGCTTTTTGGATGTTTACTAATCATAACCAGATGTAAAAGGCAAATCAAAGGGAGGAGAAAATGGTTTCAAATAAGTCTGTAGACAAGCATATAAAAATGGCCATTTCTTGCAGAAGGTTGATAAGCCTGGTCTCATCCACGTGTAATGATTTATGTAATCCCAGTTCTTACAATGATAGCTTCCCAGTGTTACTTGTAGCAAAAAAAGTGTGGGAGCAGGGGAGGGATAAAAAGAAAAAGGATTCTCATCCTTGGCCCATGCTCATCGAGCCTGGGTTTAGTACCACATCTAGTATTTGCTTTGTTGGTGTACTGGCCAGATATTGTGCAGCTATATTTTAAAAAGGTTATTTAAAAGTAAACTCAGCTTGTGAATCACTATACTGTACACACCTGTAACTTATATAATATGTACACCAACTCTACTTCAATAAAAAACAGTAAATAAAAATAAACTCAGTAAGGCCCATACCTTATCACACTGGAGTATGACCTAGGTAATAATCTAATATTCCTATGATGGTAATAAAATACTTCTACATGTTGAACTGGCCTGGTTATGACCTAGGTAGCCTAAGCCCTGAAAAGTTAACGTACACAGTTCTGGTTGTTAATGACCAAAGGAAGGAGAAGCAATAATCCAAACATTCTTAAGACAAAGTAGGAGGAAAATGCATACTGTGGCAGAGAAGGAGCTGGCCAGAAAGGGCACTTAACTGACTAACTGAGAGAGAAAATAAACAGGACACTAAGGTCGCGGTGGCAGTTAAGATTAAATCCTGCTAACATTAAAATACAATTAACTCCTTCTAATAAAGTCTTCAGAATTTACGTTATTTTTGAGAGCTGACTGCTCCAGGTGTAGTGAAGGAGAAAGCATTAGTTGGTGCAGAGCATAGGATTATGTGATGGTAAAAGAGATAGCATTTACCCCTATTCTCCCCATTTTTGTTCCATATTTTGTTTTCTAGTATAATGTAAATAATAATAATAAAGGTCCTCTCTCCCCTATGAGAGTGACTATTAATTGCTTTCATCTAAGTTGACCAGGCTTCCCCATTTAGAAATGGAGAGGAAAGCACTCTGATCTTGTCATCTTGACAGTGGACTTGGGGCTCCAGCTGGGGTACTGACCAAGATTTACAAAAGTTAAGGCACAGGAGAAAATTGTATAAATGACCTAATTTGGAAATACTAACTTCTGGCAAAGTTGGGAAACCAAGCTGCTATCTTCACCAACCAATGAGTAACACCTTCTTTTGATATGTAGATGAGTCTCTGTCAAGCAGCAAGTGGTCATCAGCCAAATGTGAATGGTCTCTTGGTTCATGGGATGCCTCTACAGCCAAGAAATCTCTCCCTAATGGACAAGCTCCTGTAAGAAGTATAAAACTTTAAGACTATAGAGTTTAAGTAGATCACTGAGAAATAAAAGGAAAGCAAAGTCAGTCAATCAACATGCATGTCTTGAGTACGTACCAAGCAACCAGAGACATCTGGGGACTAAAAACATATAAGGAAAATGGTCTCCACCTTCAAGGAGCTGATAAAATAACTGTTGAGAAGGCACAAAGGTAAAAAGAGACCTAACCATACAGGGCATTCCTGTGACTGAGGGCGAAGTTTGTGTACTCAGTGTGAGCACTATGGTAGTCCCAAAGAAGGGAAGCATTTTGGTGGGTAAGTGTAGGTTTTGAACGTGTCCTTGAAAGATAGAAGTTTGGATAAGCAGAGAAGAGCAGCAAGGCTATTCTAGGTAGGAGGAATGGTGTGGGAAAAGGTTTGGAAACAGGAAAATACAAATATTTAGAAGAGAAAGCCGACCATTTTTGCTGTAGTAGGATAGGAAGCAATAGGTTAGAATTTTAATGTTCTGATCAAAGACCACTGACAATCTTCTACAACTAAAATAGACCATGGTGTGATTAGTGGGAAAGAAGACACTATGAAATTAAAGAACTTTGGGACCAGACTATGGAGGGTTTTGAATGTCATGTTTTTGAGATCCATCCATGTTGTTGCATGTGATTCTCTTTTATTGCCAAGTAGTATTCTATTGTAATAGTACACCACAATTTGTTTATCCATTCTTCCGTTAATGAACACTTGGGCTATTTTCCAGGTTGGGGCTGTTATGTATAAAAGGCACTATAAATATTCTTACACATGTCTTTTTTGTGGACCTATGGTCTCATTTTTCAGTATCTAGAAGTGAAAGTGTTACAGAATAGGTTAAGTGTATGCTTAACTTTATAATAAACTGCCATACAATTTTCCAAAGGAATTGTACCATTTTACATTCCCACGTGAGCAATGTGTGAGTCCAGCTGGGGAGCACATATATTTAAAACAGGAATCTGAAAGATAGATTTCACAGCAGTAGGACACAGATTGGATTGATGCAGGAGGAAATGAAAGTAAGGAGTCTAATGCAGGAGTTCAGGCTGCTATGGGTCTATTCTCAAGTTGTAGCAAGACTAAAAAAAGGAATGAAATATTTTAGGAGATATTGCAAAAGAAATCACATTCTATAAAAATACAGGAATCAAAGTCAACTCAGATTTCAAGCTCAAGGAAAGCTTGTTTGGCAGGGGGAAAATGAGCTTAGGGTGTGTTGAGTTTACAATGATGGGCCATGTAGAAGGTCAGATTTGAAGGCTGATCTAGAAGTGTGGAGGTGATAAATCCAGTTATGAATGAATAGTCCAGAGGAAGAATAAAGATGAACAAAGAGCAGCTAAGGCCTAAACCCCTGTAATTAGAAAGCAGTAGGTTGTGTAAAGAAAAGGCTTAAGTGAATGGTTAGGAAGATCAGAAAGATCTCATATGAGTAATGCTCAAGGTTTAGCCCTATTCTGTGATGGGCATTTTTCCTTCAAAGTTCTCCAAACCCTGAGGCATATTTTGCACTAGAGGACACCAAAGTGGCCTGAAAGATTGAGGAACTTGCTGAAAGCCAAGAGCACATGGCAGAGCTTTATTCTTTCACTTCCCCTCCACATCACAGTGTAAATACTATCTCTTAGGTGCCTTACAATAGAATCAAACATTCTCTCATCTGCTTAAAACACAAAAACAAAGCCGCTGAATCTACAAGGCAGAGTTTAAGCTACTGAACTGTTGAGCATGGTATTTTATCAGAGTACTTACAGGAAAGTGTTATATTTCACAGTTGTTTATGCAAATGGGGATCTACTGCCCTGGGCTGTACAAAGCTCTGGACCCTTTGCCTGTTCCCAGCTTTCCAAGGAACCCCCTATCCCTGTAGGCTCCAGCTAGCTCAGCATTTTAATCTCTGCAGTGGGAGCCACACTAGTGCCACACCACTACTAAGCAGCAATATTGGCCTTTCAACTAAGTCTTTCTGGTGACATTCCTTCAGCACAAAAGAATGCTTCAAACATGGTAGGAAGCACAGACCCTGAGGTAAACTTTTGGGAAGCACTTTGGAGTCGGTACCCTACAGGTTAGTCTTTATCAGTAACTGAAGAAGTGACTGTGATGGCAGGTGAAAAATGGACTTGCTTTCCCAAGTCTCCATTCTAGTAAATTATGTGTAAGATTGAAATGATGTCCTTCTTTTAGGTACACATTCTCATGCCTGAGCTAGATTATGTAACTTCTAAAACTAGGTTATTTATTGTTTTCTCTTTTCGCTTTTTTCTCCCTTGAATGTATTTTATAGTCTAAGGCCTTTTACCTTTTGAGTTCTGTCTCCCTGTACAGAGCAATCTTGATCTCACTGTGGGTTTCTGATATTTGGACACTAGAGATCTTGATGACAAGCTACTTATGAGGCCTGGGTCCAGTACCATCCTTTCAACTCGAAATTGGCCAAATCGAGCCCTGGAGCTTAGTACATCATTTCTGTCATATACAGTGCAGTCCGCCAGGAGACGCAATCCCCCACCACGTACCCTTCATCCCATCAGCACAAGCCATTCACGCGCTGGAACACCAAGACCTATGGAAGAAATACTCAGAGGATCCCGAGTGTAGGTTTCAAAAGCAGAATATCTGGAATCTATGGTAAAACTAATGAAGAATTTTACATAGAGAATGAATTTAAATCTAAGATTGAAATATATGCCTAAACAGTAATCATTACATATTCTTATGATGAACTGCACACTGGTGTAAATCTAATACAGAAAAAATGGAGTTAAATTTGAATGAAATATAGATATACTGGATCTTCCTATTGATTTAGCTAAAGATTTATATTTCTACAAATAAAATGTTGGCTAGAATACTTCAGTAGAACTCACCAAAGGAATAAAAGACATATGTATTTTATTAAAACATTTTCCTTAGTGGGAACATCCTCAGTGAAATTCTTCCCCAAATAATAGTTAATTCTCCTTTAATATTTTTCTGTACCATTAGGATCTACCTATTCCATTGACAATGAAAACTTTAAAACCTCAGATAAGTAGATGCTTATACACCAGGAAATATGTCCCTTGGCACGTCTTAGGAAGTAACACTAAACATGTTCTCTTCCCTTTTCCCACCTTTCATTCACTAGACACTCTGAGCCTCACTGTGCAAAAAATACCAAGCCAAGTCTTTAAAATAAAATTCTTTCATTAGTTGTTGACTTACAAAACATCTTAGGATAGTTAATTTCTAAGACTAAGAACAAGGGTGTGAGATGACAACACCATAACTGTGTTTTGAATTCAGCCTCTAAATCCAGGACGTCACTATACTTCTCTCCCAACACTTCTTGATTTTGACTTTTCAATTTCTTGTTACAATTTATCCCAATAGACTTACTAAAAGAGGTGTCCAAAACCACCAAAAATCTTTGTTAGGACACCAGGGTTCTCAGCTGCTCTCTATTTTGTTGATATACCTATATCTATACTGATATAGCTATACATTCATTTGAGTATGAGTGGTCTTGATGTATAATTAATCTCTCATCCCTCTGACAGTGCTTTTCTCCAAGTGGAAAAGTAAGCTGCTTTGTTTTTTCTGGGACATGAAAAGTATCATTCAGCTTTTAATTACTATCTTGGGCATGAGTAATACTGCAAACTGCTCCAAATCCCATGGAAGGAAATAAGTTTAGGAACTTTACCTGGAAATTATAGTTTTTAGTGAGAAGGACAACCAGAAAGCCCAGAACTGTGAGTTCCATCAGATGTGAAATTACAAATCCATAACTGTCAGAGAAATACAACACAATATAGGGAAAATTGTTTTATTCCAGTTCTCTGTGGGAGAAAGGGTCAACTTCTGCTGTATGCTCAGGATGAAGTTTCAACAATAAGAAAATACTATGAAACCCGAAACTTTAATTCTCCAAAATCCTTTCATTGAGATCTCTTCACTTAAAAATGTAGGCAGCTTAAAGCTTTCTGTGCATGAAATTAAACTCATCTGCTCAATTTATTTGATTCTAATCAGTTTGCTTATATTGTTATAACTTTATGCTTTCATGTCTTGGTTTCTGCTGATGGGATCTGCAGCCCAGTGGCGGCCGACTCACTCTCCTCTCCCTCACCACTGCCCCTGAGTCGAAATAATCTGCTGCCACCTATTGGCACAGCTGAAGTGGAACACTTGAGTACTGTGGGGCCACAAAGGCAAACGGTATGTCTTTCCTATTGCCTTTCAATGTGCTTGTAAAACCTCAGGGTCAGTAATTCTGCAGGGTCTGTGCTCTGGTCTTGACTTAACACTATATTTTGTCAAAAGTACACACTGAATTCTGATTCATAACGATGGCATTGGAGCTGCTTGGCCTGCAGTGACCATACCTGTTAGGGTTGATAAAGGACATGCACAGCTCCACTACGAATTAACTGTTTCTGTAATTTTTATCTCTTCTGCAGAAAACCCATGGCGATTCCAGTCGAGCTCGAAGTGCAGCGGTGGATGAGCCTAACCATCAGCAGCCCCACGAGAGGCTCCTTTTACCAGACTTTTTCTCCAGGCCCAATACAACTCAGTCATTTCTGGTAGAGTGACATACTTCCTCTATGGTCTTGATAGTTGAGGAAAGGGGAAAAAAATAGTTTGGCAGACTTAAGGCTTTACATGGTGGCTTAATCAAACTCTAAGAATAAAAGATGAGGTTCTAATAAAAATAATATTTTTAAGTTTTAAGTATATTTTGTTGAAACTCTAACTGGTCTCTGTCACTCATTCTTTTAACTTATACATAAATTGCAAATTCTAAGCAATTTAAAGTTTAGCTATTTCTGAGAATAAGCAAAATGTTAAACCCCAGTGTGTATCAGATTAGCATTAACTTCATTCTCTAACACTGCTCTTAGGGAATTACACAAAAAATGGTATCAGATTATGTATGTGGACTGGTGGATGTGCGAGTTAAGACTTTTGGGGGTTCTTAGTTAATTGGTGTTTGAAATGCTGACAATGCCTTACCACTTAATGTACATTTACTAGCCCTTTTACTTTTAAACAATAGAAAAAAACCTGATTGGGAGACTGGAGATCATGCACTGACCTTGCCCAAAATTGTAAGCCAGGAGCTCAGCCCCACCTCGTTTGCTTTGTGCAAGAGGGCTTGGAGAGCCTAGGAAGTGACTGGGGCTACACTTATGGCCCAGGAACCAGGCACCAGGAACCCACATCCTATACCAGTTTTCAAGACAGTGGTATTTGCAACACACTTATCTCAACTCATAACCCTTAAAACTGTATCAGCCTAAAGCACTGTACGATTCTTCCTCCATTAGAAGAGTGGTGAGAGTAGTAAATGAATGGGACATTGTACTAGTTTCCTAGGGCTGCTATAACAAATTACCACAAACTGGGTGGCTTAAAACAATAGAAATTTATTCTCTCAATTCCAGAGCCTATTAAGTCCAAAATCAAGGTGTCAGCAGAGCCATGTTCCCTCTGCAGGTCCTAGGGAAGAATCTTTTCTTTCCTCTGTCCTAGTTCCTGGGCTGTTCGGCTTACTGCCTGTTTTTGTAAATAAAGTTTTCTTAGAGCAGAGCCACCACGCTCATTCACTGTCTGTGGCTGCTTTCCTACTGTAACAGCAGAACTGAGGAGTTCCACTGACAGTATGTACCACAAAACATAAAACGTTTACTATCTTGCCCTCTACACAAAAAAAAGTTTGCTGATCCCTGATAGAAAACATGGGGCTTCATCAGGAAAGAAAAAAAAAAATCTCAAATCTCTTAATACCAGTGCTGACAGGAAACTGAGAGGGACGTTTTTATTCTAGAAGTACCAGTGGGATGGTATTGATAGCTTTTTTTAATATCTGCATTTAGGTATTTTAGTTGTATCTTAAAATCTTTAAATCCCTTGAGATAATTTTGAAATGTTTGAGTTCCATATTGAGAGTCACATTTCAAGCATGGAAGTAGTCATGGGTGTTTCAATGTTGCTGAAAAGGTTCTGGTTCTGTTGTTTTAAACAGTCAGCAGGCAATGGAAATCAGATAAAAATTCCCTTCACAGCCAATTTTAAGTATTTAGAAATATTAAACCATACGGATTATTTATAAATGCTAAGATTTTCTTAAAGACATATTAATAAAGTTGTAGAACTTGAAATTTTTACAAGTTAACAATGGCTCTGTGGGCTTCTGGCTTGGGATTTTTCTTACTTGGAACGTAAGAGTACACTTAGCCAACTTGTCCCTCAGAATGTCAGATGATGTCGATTACATTGCTGTCCAACTTCAAGGTTTTCCCTCCTACCAAGTAACACATTATCCTCTGGGAGAAGTCACATCGTAAGAAGTGTCTCATCTTCTCTCTTTTTCAGCCGGACACACAGTATCGTCGTTCATGTGCTACTGAGCATCCTCATCAGGCCCGACCTGGTAGGGGATCTGCAGGAACAGGTCGGGCCATGGCTTTTATTTTACTACTATGTGGTTAAGACCCTGCTGTTTTCCATGTTTATTTTTCCTTCCTCCAGATTTTATTACATTTTGTTTTCCTACATCTTTGTAAATTACCTCAAATTCATTTTGGAATATGGGATATAATAAAAAAATTACAGAACTCCACTGCTCAAAGCCAGAAAGTTCCAGATTTGTTTTCTCATATAAAAATTAACCTCTTGCCATTCCGGCAAACTACTTTTTTTTTTAATCTAAAAAATTTAAGCCAAATAAGTCATTTTCGTAACATTCAAACACTGCATGGATTTTATTACTTGGCAAACCCCATATTGCTATGGATTAAACTGATCTGGTCAGTTAAGCTGCTAGGCCAAGGTAAGAAAAGAAATTCACAATGTCAAGACACAAGGAGTCTGATTCTATCCCATTAACTTTTTTGTCTTCTAAGTTATATTCTATAGTTTCTATTTTCATGTGAGTGATGAGAGAAAATTTAAGGATGTCTTAATTCTTCCTATAATGGTCTCACCATCAGGGTCATTTTCTCCTTATGTTATAGGTGAAATTTAGAACTATTGGGCAGTTGAAATGTTTCCTGTTAATAATCAGATTAATCAGCAAGTACATTAAAAAGTAATCTGCCTCAAACCTTCTCTGTAATCCAAGTGAATTCTTTTAGTTCAGTTCCTAGTAGCATCATTTGGTAGTCTTTGAATGCTTTCAGTGGATTCGGTTCTTGGATCAGTTCTCAGAGAAGCACTGCTGCCTCTGAGCTAGTTATTACATTTGGCCATGCTGCCGGTCAAGTATAACTAGTATAATATTTAGGTAAGTCCTTTTAAATTAGTGGCTATTTTCTAAAATTAGGTTACTGCTTTCATATCTAAATATAGATTTTGTTTCTTTATTTTTACATTATAAAATACACAAACATGATTTTTATTGCCTTGGTAAATATATACTTTACTATTTAGTCACAGGCTCCAAATTTAAAGTCTAACTGATAACTGGAGCAAAAAAGCCCATACATGAACTTGAGACAATCAAATCTAGAATGTCTACTAATGTTACTCTATGATGTCATCTTTGTCTGACAGGTCCTCAGTTACATGGATCTACAAAATCTCAAAACAGAGGTGGACCTATCACTAGAACCAGGCAGGGACCATAGGGCAAGTGAGAAGAACCTGCCTCATGCTGCAGGGAACATGTGGGAAGATTTCACAAATCAGTGTTCAGTCATCTCGTGATGCAGAGCTTGTAAACAGGAGACAACTTGAAACTATCTTCATGAAGAGTTATTTTGGTACAACAGACTGAGAACAGTATCAGCCAAAGATTACATGGGTACTGCTTCTATCTCCAGTTACTGTCTTCTTTCAGCATAAGTTAACCATTTCACTGGACAGTAAAATTTGTACCCAAAGATGTAACAAAAGAGTAATATCCTCCAAATCACTGTTCATATTGTCTGTTAACAATGATCAGTTCAATTATTACAGGATTCTATCAGACTATACATACACAAAAAGTAGGAAATTGTTTGATAACATTATCACTGGCTTCGGAATACTTCTGCTTGTGTTAATTTTTGGACAGGTGTACTCACTTTTACGTCATTTTTAGGAGATAGTGCTGTCAAAAATCTGAGCTACTCATCAAACAGGTGAGTCGTTCCTAAAGTTTTCTCTTTAGATGTCCAATTCCATAGGCAGACAGATATGGAAGGGGTGAGTAACTAAAGACATAAATGTTGAGCACTGGTGTAAAGTAACCTATGTAATAAACCATAATGGATTTTTTTTTCACATAGGACGACTCAACCTCACACAACACCTGCTTGATATCAGGTTATGCTTCTTTTCTTCTTAAAGTACTTTAGTGGTCGTATTTATTTCCAAATATTAAACTCACCTTGCCGATTTTCTCCTGCAGATCTAAGAAAGGCAATTTAAAAATTTATAGAATATTTCTATTAGTGAGCCAGCAAGACACAACTTCTTAAAATTTCAGAAACCCTGCAAATTAGTCCAGTATAAACATATCCTAAGAGCAAAGGAAGAGAACTTGGACATTCTTCCAATTTTCACATGGACCTTTCCTGAGTGCACTCATTAACAATGGTTTTAACTATGGCTTACATTTATTTTATTTAAATTTCACTGAATTTTAATTTTGATGATCATACTGGTTTTAGATCTTACTGTTAATCTTCAGAGTTGATCAATTCAATTGGGGTAATTTTATTATTTCGCACTTATCTAATGCTATCACATGAAGACGGATGCTTCAAACAACCTGCATTAAAATTGTATTTTTGATGCAATTAAAGAGTATTTTTTAACCTGTTTATAATCACAAACTGAAAACGTGTCATGGGCTTACCCCAGATAAATCATGATACATAAATCTCAGTAACAGAAGGCTTGTTTTATGTATATGGTATTGAATATATTAGCTTACAAATCAGAGATTTTAAGTTGAACAGTCCCTAAAAAATTTCCATATATTCTAATGAGTTCATACCAATTCAACTAAATATAAGTGAAAATCTCTGTACCATTCTCACAAATCAATACCAGGAGTACATAATAACAAGCCACTGGATCAAGACGGCTTGCCTTTCAAGGTTAAAGTTAAGAGTCAGAAGGAGCCTCTAACAAGTCATTTAGCCCAGCTCCCTTACTCTTTTATAGAGGAAAGAAGTTCAGACAAGCTCAGTGACTTAAGGACATTCAGCAGTTACAGGCAGGACTACAACATCTCTTGAGGCAACTTAAACCAGGCTATCTGCTACAATGCTGACTACGACTACTTTTCTTCTCTCTTCTTTATCCTAAGCACCATTCATATCGTTTCTAGATCATCTTTTAAATGATCACACTGGGATCATTTAAAAAGCTCCTGGAACTTAACAGTCATTTTTTTACTTGTTTATTTAATCATGTAAGATGCTTGAAGTTATCTGAACACCTGTTTCTCCTATAAACCTCAAGCAAAGAGTGCAAAACTTAGTTGTAAAACAAAAAGGAGAGGGTCTATGCAAGAACATTAAGAAAGCAGGGGTTTCCCTGGTGGCGCAGTGGTTGAGAGTCTGCCTGCCGATGCAGGGGACATGGGTTCATGCCCCGGTCCGGGAAGATACCACATGCCGCGGAGCAGCTAGGCCCGTGAGCCATGGCCGCTGAGCCTGCGCGTCCGGAGCCTGTGCTCTGCAACGGGAAAGGCCACAACAGTGAGAGGCCCGCATACCACAAAAAAAAAAAAAAAAAAAAAAAGACTGAAAGTAAATTGGCAAGTATTTGGAAGACAGATGTCCAGCAAGTGTGTTGAAGGCTAGGTAAAGTACCTGTTCTAATAAACACACACCACTAAATACCCTGCAGCTCACTCCTGTGTGGCAAAATGACAACTGCTAAATGTGGTAGGGATAGATCTGCATTATAGGTACAGTTCCTTGTACAGAAGACCCATAGAAGAGTGCTGTCAGGAAGCATATACCCTTCCGCTCCCTCAATGATCACCACCAAATTCCTTCATAGGAGGACCTCACAGAATGTCATGGTGTTTCCAGGATATACTAACATCAGGTTGAGAGATTCTGTTTGGTTTATGTAGTTGATCTGAATCATTTAGGCTTGAAAGATAACTTTTCTCAAGGGTTAACTTTTGTCTTCAAATCTTGACGGCACCTTGCCTACGATGGCATCAATTAACACCTAAGGAGTTTTGAAGAGAAAATTCCATTATTTCTTTTCTTTCTTGAGAGTTGTTTTTTTCCCCCCTCGTTTGGAAGGTTTGCAGTACTTTGCTTCCATCTGAGCCAGAAAACTGTCCATTTCCTTTTGCCGATCCTTTTGTCTGCTCTGTTTGAGAAGTTAAAACACAAGCTTTCAAAACACAAGACTGTCCACAGAGATAAAAGTACTTAGCAGCTTCCAGGGGCTGGTGGAAAGGGAGAATGGGGAGTGACTGCTAATGGATAAGGGGTTTCTGTTTAGGGTGATGAAAATGTTCTGGAATTACTGCTGATGATTGTAAAACCTAATAAATATACTAAAAACCATTGAACTGTACAATTTAAAAGGATGACTGTATGGTACCTGAATGTCTTAAAAGAAGAAAACAAAATGCCCACAATACTGTACATACACTCCAAAGAAAATATTAGCAGTAAGAATCAGAACATGAAAGAAGTGGTGGCAACCTTCACAGACAACCTGCCAGGTTTACCTGAATGAGTGCTTTCAAGTTATCCACTCCTTCATCAAGCCCCAACTCCTTCCTGCTCATTTCTGCTTCTTTAGCCTCTTCCTGAGCCTAAAACAGAAACTCATGTGAGACGCTATGGCAATCTAGCAAATACTAAAAATACACCCTATTTCCCCAAAGCAAATTTAAGACTCCTTCAATTTGAAGATTATATAAATTAAAAGGATAAAATTGCATAAATATGACACTCACTAAAAGGCAGCATTGCTGACATCAAGCAGTAGATCCTCTGATTCCAATAAGCATTTCTGACTGCTCCCCATTTGTATTTGCTAGGGGTAAGCAGGTAATTTGGTTTCATAAACCACATGGTGACAGGAAGGAAACCAAAATGCTAGAAGAGCTAAGAAAGGTCACTTAGCCAAGGATGCCCTCAAAATTCTGCCAGGATATAGGCACCTCAGATTCCTCCTCTGGAAACCCAATTTACTACATGTGACTTGGGGCAGCCTTGAGAGCAACCCTGGTTTAAAATTTCCCCTGAGTAGTTAGGATAAACTCTAACAAATTCAGTTTTAACCTTTCTTTACCGGATTTCAAAGCCACCTCCTCTTGCCAAATGTTACTAGGGCACTGATTCCAAAATACCACAAGAATACCTTGGGAAAGGTTAATAAGTTCATTCTTTCCTTCAGGGCAACAAGTAAGACTATAAGAGGCCCCAACCCCCAGTGAATTTTCTAAGTAGCAATGAATACTATTAATACTGAGAGTTATGATACATTAGGACCCTGTTATTCCAATAAAGAGACACAGTTTCCATTGTCTACTTTCAGTCCCTGTATTCAATTTATTTCTTTTAATACTGTATTCCCCTCTCCAAGTTTGTGGGAGTCTCACTCAAAAGTATTCCAGCCTCCCGCCCCGCTCCCCCAAACTCTAGGGAAGTTTCTCAAGCTAATAGCCTATTACTGAATACAGCTGTGCTCAGTTTCACCTAAAAAATGATTACCAACTTAAGATAAACTGTCAGCTTGAATCTAGACAGATGTAGCCTATGAGCCAAAATGATGATCTTGATACACATTCCACTTCTCTCAACTCAGCACAGGTGTCAGGTTTCTCCTGTCTCTTTACCTAAAAGCTGCAGACCTACCTCCACCCCCATTTCAGCCATACAAAGTAAAGTACCCACCAAAGAGCTACAGTCTTACACTGTTTGCTCTCCGTGGAGCTCCCATTATGAAAGCCAGGTTGAGGCAATGGTGCCTTTTAATACCAAAAGACCAGAGGCACAGATGTTTGTTACCTTGGATCCACTCCCTCCCTGAACCCCAGATATCCTTAAGCTCCTTTCCCCTGCCATCATCCTTACCCTCACCAACTCCACAGTTTAATATGGGTATAAAGGACACACAAGCCACAGTCCTTGATACTCCACAAAAGTGTACCTCAGAGTGTGTTTGGAAAGACACTGTTATCAAAATAAACTAAATTGTTTGTTTAAAAAAATGTATATTCTGGGTCCAACTCAAGAATCAATCTGGCAAGAACAAAGGAATCTGAATTAACAAGACACAGTTTTAAAGGGACAGCCTCTGTCACCCTCCCCGCCACGCCTTAACCAAGTGAGAATCACTGTCTAGCCTGTGTATCTGGACTCCATTATTTTATCTCCTCAGGAATGCCTCAGCAAGGTTACAAGAATTGGCCCATATGAAGAATATTTCAGTGGTACTTTAAAATGATATTATCTAAATAATCCATGCAGTAAAATCCTCTTGAGCACAACACAGTAGAAAAAAAGTTTCTCTTAATGACCTGATCTGCTCATTTTATTAGATGAAAACTACAAATCAAGTTAAACCTAGTCTTTATTTCAGCAGTCTTGTATATATTTTCATTATTGTAAATATCCTCAAATTCTTTTTGGAAGCAGTCAAGATATAAACAGCATTCAAAATCTTACCCTCCTTTTCCTTGCATTCATCTTTTGCTTTGCTTCTTTGACAAAGGCATTATAGGATGGGACCTCTCTGGCATCAATGGCTTGTTGAATAATGTTCCTTATCCTGGGTTCCTCTGTGTACTGCACACACAGCACAGACTCCATGATCTGATCCATGTCACCCTTGAAGTCCAGATAGGCCTGTTTAATATCAGCCAGCTCTTCTTCTGAACCTTTGTATGTCTTCTCAAAAGCTTGAATGTCTTCTAGAGATATCTGAACAAATGAGAGGCATATGCTTTAACTCTGAGAATTTTATTTTAAATAAAAGAAATACTAGTAAAAAGTATATTTAGGTGTTGAAATGTTTCTCCTCAACTCAGTTACTTGAGTTGAAATTGTTGCAAGGAACCAAAGTTTCTATGACAAAGATTTTCCAGAGTTCTCCCTAATCCAACCTTTACAACTGCTAAGCTACAGACCAGGAAAATTTAAGTGAAGTTTCCAAGCTAGGAAAAGTTTCAGGACTTACATCGGAATATGTAAAATAAAGCACATCTTGTAAAAAATCAAATGCCCCCATTTCACTACAAGCACTTTACATCAACGGAAAATTAAAGACCCATTTCAGTAAGAGTGTGTGTGTGTGTGTGTGTGTGTGTATGTAGGTGCATGTGTTATGGATACACACACACGGTTCAAACTAACAGTGAGATATGTCTTCCCTTCTTCAAAGATCGATAAGTAGATAGGTATCTCCTGAGGAACGCCGGTGTGTATGTGTGTGTTTATTGATATTTCGAGGCCAAATAAAATTCCTCATTCTTACACAACACAAAATGCAAGGCCTTAGAGGCATTCAATAAACGTTTGTTGAATGAATGATGAAAACAGTCACAAGGAAATCTCCAGAGTTCTTTACCTTTTTAAACAGTAATCTCCAATAGGCCTCCCAGTCCCGATCTTGGCTGAGCACAACAGAATCCTCGTCCACTGTTCCCTGCTCATCGTACACTGCTCTCTGATCTTTGTCACTCAGAACGGAATAGACCTTCCCAAGGATCTGCGGGAAAGAGCATCCAAAAATCAACCCTGCGCCTCTCACTGAAACCGCGCCGCGAGAAATAAAGATTAGAAAACGCCAGGCCGGGTTCGGCTCACTCCACCTGGGCGGGGTCGGGCGGCCAGAAGACGGAGAAAAGCCCGGCAACCGGCGGACCGGGGTCTAGCGCACCTGGAAGCGGCGGGTGGCGTCCTCCTTGTCGCCCTCGCCCACCCGGTCCGGGTGCACCTGGAGGGACACCTTGTGATAGCCGCGTCGGACCTCGCCGTCTGAGGCCTCGCGCCGCACGCCCAACACTTGGTAAAGGTCGGCGGTGCCGAACACTTCCTCGCACAGCTCCAGAAGCCCCATGGCCGGCAGCGGCGCGGAGCCGGCGGCGACCTCAGCGAAATAAGCCTGACTCCAGTGACGCTAAGCAGACGTGGGCGACACCCTTTTCCCGCGCAAAAAGCCCAGGGCGCCGGCGCCACAAGAGGCGCCGAAATGGGCGGGGCCACGACACCACACTTTACGGCGGTTGCAAAGGGGGGTGTGGCCAAGCTTGCGTCGGCCAGAATTGAGGCGGAGAGTGGAGCCGGCGTCCCTGGTTTCCTCTAGCGCCAGGACCTCCTTCCACCACGCCCTCTCCTCCGCGGCCCTCCTCCCGATGCTCTGGAAATCTCGCATCTACCTTTTCCCCAACGTCCTAGCTCAGTTTATGCAACAATATAAGGAACGTTTATATTAGGCTGAACCTATGCACTGTTTTCTTTTTGCTTTTACAGGGTATCAACGGCATTTGGCAATTTCACATGGTTTAAATTTAACCTGAAGATTAAACAGATTTGTTCTTTTCCAAAGATGATCTGACAAGAGTACATAGAGCTCTGAGGCCCAAATAATTTTGCAACCTACAGGTTGGGACCGCTGGGTAGGGACTTTCCCTTGAGCCCTGCAATTTAAAAACCCTACATTAAACAAAAAGACAAAATACTGGTCTTTTAAAAATTCTTTGTCTGATAGAACTTCTAGATTTGACATTTATTACAGAATCATTGCCATTCACCTTCCAGCTCCTAAATCACCTTCCACTTTGCTGGAGATAACATGGTCCAAATGCTCATCTTATTAAAACCTAAACTTTGGAAGCAAAAGCTTTCTCAAGTGCAGTCCTGGGTTTGAGCATGCTGGACTTGAGTGGGTAGCAAGACAGGCTGATGCAATCATTCAAGACTTGGTGAAAAATCTGGGCCTGGAAATCCAAAGCAAGGCTAGGGCTAGAGAAAACTTTGGAAATCAGGGAGAGGATGAGCTCACATAGGAAGTTTGCGTATATAGATCTTAGACAAAAGATAGACCAGGGCACAAAGTGAATACGTGAGCTGGAAGAAACTCAGTGGCTCAAAATACCCATTTCACATCAGTTCCCCTCACTGGACAATACTTTCCAGAATTACATTCTCCTCTGCTCTACCAATTAAAGCTTCTCCAAAGACCTCAAACTCTCCAGGGTAGATTATTATCTTTTAAACTTTGAAATGGTTTTCAAAACATTTCTCTTTCCTAGTTCCAAGATCAAACCCAGGTAAAGTCAGTTGCTCTCTGCCTGCTGTGCCTTTAAAGTCGCCCCAAAGTAAGTGGAAGCCAACCAGTGACAACCCTGGGAGAGCCTTGATGACCTCAGATTTTGAGATGGCTGGTAACTGTTCTCAGAATATAAAACCCAGAGAATAAAATAGTTTGGTACATTGATAGGGCTATAGAATCTCCTCTATAAATCTCCTATGTTTTAGTTTTATGTCAGATTATGAAATCTGTATTATCCAATGTGCACTAAAACCATCTAATCCTGCTGCACTTCTGGTGGAACAGAGTATGTGCTATTTGGGTTTTGGGGGACACAACCAGTCATCTGTATTACAAAATCATGATACCTAAACCTGATTCTGTCACTGACTCTTTAAATGGATTTTTGTAAAGCCCCTCATCTTAGCTCATTTCCCCGGCTACAGACAATACGACATGTTGGAAAGGGCTCTCCAGGTAGGAACATTGGGGTCTGACTCTTAGCTCTGCCCAATATTAAAACTATGTGGCCTTGGGCAAGTTTCTACTGCTGAACTTCAGCTTCCACTCCTATAAACGAGATAATCCTACTTAATTTCAAGATATCTTATAATTCTCACAAATAACCTTGCACGGAAAAGGCCTAAAATGTATGTGGGTACTTTACAATATTATCTTTCTTCCAGTTATTCCTAAAAAGCAGGTTGTTAGAGCCTAAAAGCTCATAACAAACCTACCTTTGTAAATCTGAAATTTTGCATTTACAAGACAATGTAAATCTGCAATTACAAAAACAGTAAGTGAAGTAACTGTGTTCCTGAGCTGGTGGGATGACCATAAATGACTAAAGTAGGAATTAGTTGGATAGGACACAGACATGCTGGTTGGGGACTTTGAAACACAGGGAAGTCCTGGAAGGTAGCAGGCTGTAAAGTTGTCCAAGAGACCCAGAGTCCAATCCACCCCACAGCCACTGTCTTTCCCCAGATGAAGGCTGAAAAAGCTAATTAGTACCTATACCCAGCTTTATGTCAGTCAAGAACAAACCTCTCCCTGGGCCCTGTTCAGGTCAGGCCAGAATACCATGGATGACTTAAAAAATTCCATTTATTGACCTCTAAATATAATAAAACTAAGAGACCTGCACAAATATTTTAAGAGGACTTCGACCTTGTTCCCAGTGCTATGATCACTGAAGTCAGTTTGCTTTTGTTTCTGTAGCCTCTGTATCTGTTTTCTGAGCCGCTAAGAGGACTTCTCGTGCCCGTTTCCGTCGCAGCCTCTCAGCATTTGTGATCACCATCGGATGCAGAGGGAAAAAGCCAGAAAGACCTAAAAGTAACAGTATTTTCATTCATTATAACAATACAAGCTAATGTTTCCCTGGGAACTCAGCATCACTGAACTGAGGTCTAACAGAGACCTGATCTAGAACATAGATTCAAATCAAGTTCCTCACTCAACAAAATGTTTTACCTCTTCCCCCAACTCACTTCCTTCCGTTTACTGCAAGGTCACAGTGGATGTTGTCTACTTCCTAACACTATTTTCCTTACTTGGAAACAAAAAAGAACTGACAGATAGCCATTCAAGACACACCGTTCCCATTTTTTAGCATAAAATCTCAGTCATCCAGAAAGTCTCATAAAGGAGTCTACAAAAGGAATCTCCAGATTCAAAATGGCAATCAGATCAATTTCAGTTCTCACTCCAGTCCTGATTAGCCTGGAGATAATGAAAATCGTTCTTAATTCCCATCATCTTGGAGCTGATTTCAATTTAAAATCCCCTCAGAGAGGTAAGGCTAGAGCTGAGTTACCGAGAAGCTTTTCCACAGGCTTAGAGAGGTGGGCTCCACAGCCAATCCAATGCCGGATCCGGTCCAGGTTGAGAGCAACGATTTTCTCTCCATGACTGTTGGGCAGTGGATCATAGGAGCCCAGCTGCTCCACGAAACGGCCATCCCTGGGGCACTTGTTGTGAGCAGCCACGATGCGGTAGAAAGGCCGGTTGGTACAGCCACCCAGGGTAAGGCGGATAGTTAAGTGGCCTCCATGGTAGGCCTTGCAGAGCAGAGTATCTGTAGACAAATAAGTGGTTAAGACACAAGAATCGAGGGCACAAAACCGACAAAATGAGATAGATGAAATGAGTCCCCTTCCTCCACTGAAAGGTCCTTACTTCCAACCAATTCTTGTCAATCTGACTTAGATACCGTTTCTTTGTGAAACTCCTCTTATGCACTCCAGCCATCCCCCAACGCACTCAACACTGGCTCTGGACCATGTCGGAGTCCAGCTGCCTCATTTATAAAATTGATGCCGTTTATCTCATAGGGTTTCCGCGAAAACTTAAAAACAAAACAAGAAAACCACTGAGGAGAGGGTCAAAAGTGTGCAGTTTCAGGTACTGGTTGCCTCTAGCTCGTCTACGAGAGCGCCGCTCCACCCAGTCCCGCACGCCCCCTACCCCCGGCGACCGCCTTTAAGGTCTCCCGGGGCCCCCATCACTCACTGAGCTGGACCATAGCGCAGCCGGCAGGCGCCGGGGCCTGTGCACCAGCTGCGACGCCTCGGAGCTTCTCGCCTCCCGCGCTGATCCGCTCTACCGCCTCGGTGGCGCGGAGGACAGCCGGGAAAGGTCAGCGTTGAGGAACGGCCGGCCTCCAAGCTCCGCGACCCCAGGCCGGGCGCCTCGGTGCCGGAAGCGAACGGCCCACTCGCCCCGCCTCTTCCGCTTTTCGCCCCTACACTTCCCGTAACGCAACACAGTGGAACCTAACGTGCCTCAACTGCCGCAAAGGAGGGGAGCTACAGTTTGGGGCCGGATAAGTGCGAGAAGAGCCCTGTGGGGTCTCCCGGCCCTCACTGGCCTTTGGGTTCCTGCCAGAGGGAGTCCTGGGAGCGGCTAAGAAGTGCTAAAGTGCTCCACAAATCCATCCTTCCAGCAAACTTTCCGAGCACCAGTTAGGGCCAAGGCGAGCTGCCGAGAACGCAAAGATGCGCTGTCCTTGCCCCCAGGAAGCTTGACAGTCTGGTAGGGGAGATGGTGAGGTTACACCAGAGTAACTAGGGGTGGTCAGTACACAGTCCTGGAGTGAGCGGAAGAGAAGGTGAACCTGATAATTCCTTTGTGCCTCAGGAAGACTTCATAAAGGAGGTAGTGTTAGGACTGAGAGTAGAAGGACTATAAATGAATGTAGAGTTGATTTTACCGTTCTGTGTTTACTAATATGCCTCTCACCTTCCCTCCTGCTCTACCTCCCTCCTATTATCTCAACCGCCTCCTTTAAAAAATGAAGGAGGGGAGCCTTTATTTCTGGTTTTGCTGTAAACTGATCCGGAGGACAGGGGTGAGGTATGGTTCCTTTGTCATCTCTAGCCCTAGAATAAATGGCCTCCGTTGTGAGGAGTTTTGCATCTGTTATAGGGTAATGGACTCTTCATGGAGCCCTTGTGATTTAGATCCATGAAGATACCTTCAGCAAAGACCAGTCTATTAAGCTTCTCTGTTCACTGTTGGATCCAAAGGATCTGGCCAACTCATATGCTCTTTGCTCTAATGCAGTGACCCAGCACAGCATTCTTCCTTTCCGCCCACCTTAGAAATGATGCCTTAATTCCCAAGTTCCAGTAAGTGAACCTGGCCAACGACCTTAGCAGTTGACCTCTTTCAGGAGTGATCCTGATAAGCTTTCACCAGAAACCCTAATAATGAAGCTACTATACCTTACTTATACACACACACACACACACACACACACACACACACAGTTATATTCTTATATATACCTCAGTATACCTTAACTGATGAATTCTGAATCTCTTATTTAGATTTTTTTATTGCCATCCAGTTTACTGTCAACCACTAAAACATCCAGTAACATAGACATCCAGTAAGATAGCCAATGGAAATAAGTGAATGGGTTTCAGTTTGTGCTGAAGATCCTTTTTTCTTTATCCCAAGCCCTCATATGGTGAAACATCCAGGGTATAATTTCTCTGGGAAGGAAAGGAGCTCAGTGTCCCATACAGAAAATTCTTCAGGTGGAAGGATGTCAGAAAGATGGATTTCCAAAGCCAACTGTCTCCTGTACCATGTGGATCTCTGCAAGCAGACTCTCATCTTTCAATTTCAGCTGCATGAGAGGAGGAAGGGAAGAACACATGTCATACCTGATATAACTATGTGGAGACCCCACTTTTGCGGAACCACAGCTAAAGAACATAGTTCCTCAGGATGGAATTGACTCTTCCTGTATTCTCTATTTCACAATAACTCCATTAAAAAGACCTCAAAACATCGTGCTGGTTACATGGATGTGTTCACTTTATGAAAATTCATCACGTGGTATGAACACTCACAATTTGTGTATGTTTTTGTAAAATAACTTAAAGTTTATTTTTAAAACTGTTTACCTTATCACCCAATATATCTTAACTAATGAATAATGTTCCTATTTGGCAAGTGAGAGAAAGGAATGAAAGACACAGGAATCAAAGACATTAGACTTTAATTTTAAAATCTAGATGTGTAGTAGACACATCTAGTCGCCTACTGAAAACCCACTCTCTCCCTTCTTTTACTAACAAAATCATTTCTTTCCAGGGCAGCAATGTAACCAACTAAAAAGCCACATTTCTTGCTTCCCTTGCAGCTAGGGGTAATTTCAGTTGTTGCCAATGAAATGTAAGGTAAAGTCATATCTCTTTAAAGGGAGGTGAAATAGCTAGCATGGTCCCTTTGTCCTTTCCCTGCCTTGTTCTTTATTGTGCCTGAAACATGGATATGATAGCTGGACCTACAATGGCTGTCTTGCAACTATGAGGGATGGAAACTGCATGTTATGATTGGTGAAGCAGAAAGAAAGAGGTTGGGTCTCTGATGACACTGTGGTACCAATTCTGGACTTTTCATTAGATGAGAAAAATAAAACTCCTAATTTGTTTAAGCCACTGTCTTCCAAGTCAAATTACTTGCAATCATAACTGATAGACTAGACCAGGGGTTGGCAAGCAATTGCTCATGAGCCAAATCCAGCCTGCTGCCTATTTTGTAAGTAAAATTTTATTTGAAATGCAGCCATGCTCATTAGTTGGTGTATTGTCTATAGCTGTTTTTGCACTACAAGGGAAGAGTAGTAGTTACAATAGAAACCATGTAGCCCACAAAGCCTAAAATATTTCCTGTTTTGCCCTTTACAGAAAAAGTTTGCTGACCCCTGGACTAGAGCAACACCTTCATTTTATATGTGAGGAAAATGAGGCCCAGGGAGGTTAACAAAAGATCCCACATGGTAATATGTGGGTTTTTATTCCAAACCCAGCAGCCCCATGATAATGGCCAAAGATGGTAAGAAAATCCTCTAGAAAAATATTCATATCATGAAATGCTGTAAAGTCAAGTCCTGAATTAAGCCAGCACCTTCCCTCCAGTTTACCAACCTCAGTACAGTATGAACAGCAGAGGTATCTGCATCATACCTTCATCGTGTACTTGTAGGCCTGCTCAGCTTCCAGTTGACGTCCAGCCTGAAAAAAAGAGCACCGCCTGGTGATGAGGACATATCATAAATATTATGAAGGGAAAGTACATAAGCAGAGGATTTATACCTTCTTAGTTAAGAACCTCTGAATTCAAAGGGGGAAGCAGGAAAATGAAAGATGGTAGGGAAAAGCAGATGCTCATATATATATAATATATATATCCCTCCTTCATTTCAAAAAGCTTAAAGACAACTTGACCTCTCTTTTTTTTTTTCCTGAAAGCACCATGAGTCATTTGTTACTCTCAGGATTGAAGCTATTCTGTTAATAACAGCTAACACTTACATAGTGCTTGCTTTGTAGTTTACATTGTTTTTAATTGTTTACATTTTTAAAGTGCTTTACTTTCATACATACCACTATTATTTATATTTATATTGTATCAATATACTATTGATATTTACATGCCACTA